TGACCCCCACCTCCTTCTTTGGCAAATATCTCGACTTGTATTCAAGATAAATGGATATTTTTTTTCAACCAAATAAAGAAAAGTTAACAAGTTTTAAGATGATACCAATAACTCTACATGCTCAAAAATTGACGAGAGCCTGATTCCACCGCGCTGCCTCACAAATGTTCTATCTGCTCTATCAAAATCGTAAGAATATTTGGAGTCATTATGGAGATATTCAAAGAATTGCATTTGAAAAAGCTTGACATGTTCTGAAACTCAAAACCTTTGACGTCAAATTTCTCAAAACTAAGTACTGAGCAGATAGAACTTTGTATTTCTAGGGTAGCTACTTGCAACACAATTAGGTCATTTAAGTGCCGAAGATCAGATCAGAGATATTGTTATTACTTCAGAGTAGTATACCATGAAAAGGATGAGAGATAAAGACTATGCAATTTTTAATAGAAAATAGGGAGCATACCACACCAGGGCACCCTCCGACCACCCAAGCTTGACCTGTGATATTTTTTAGTTTTAGTGAGAGTTTTACGGCACTTGCAAGACAATAAGGTAGTATAAGTGCCGAAGTTTAGAGGTGTTAAGAGAGAGGTTTAAAAAAAGAAGAGATTAGGACGATAGATGTTTGGTAGGAAAGAAGTAGCAAATCACACCAGAGCATCCACCGACCACCCAGTCTGTGATGTTTAACAATAAAAGAAAATTTTACATTTATTCGTTGTTGTTATTTTTTTTACATATTGTCGTTCTAGCTAGACAACTAAAATAATGTAATGAGCAACAACTTTTTGTGAAGGTCTGGAATGAAAAAGACGGGTGGAGAGCCATGATCGTCAATATCTGCTCCAGACAAGACTCATGATGATGATGAGTTCTAATAAAACAAAAAGAGAAGCTTATAGACACAATAAACGTTTTTTCGTGCGGATTAAGAAGTGAGACAAAAAACAAAAGTAAGATGTGGCTGGAAAAGACGTAGAATAATTGATACTAACCACTTACTTTTGAAAGACCAACTAATACTGAGATGTGTGCACACTTCTTTTTATTTTTTTTATTTTTTTTTCCTTATTT